TTATTCCCAATCGAACATGGTTGAACAAGCGGTCACGTGCTCCTGCGTACTAGGCCTTGACAGATTATGCTAATATTTTCATGAAATTATGCTTTTCGCATTGCTGAAAAAATTGCAGAATTATGCTATTATTATGCGAAAAGTTATCATATTATGCGGCATTATGCTCACATATGCTGCTAATGTATATGATGGTTCTGTGCAAAATAACAGGTGAATTTTTTTGTAGAGGGCGTTGTACTGTAGTAGCAAAAGTTCAACGGGGTCAACGCACCGTCCGACCTAGCTATGACCGTCGCCCTGGTCACTGATTGTAGTGGACTGGACATGCTATCAAGGGAGTCGTAAACCTACGCCTTCCTGGTGTGTCTACTTGTACTTGTACTTGTAGAACATGTACAACTGTATGGAATTTGATGCGAACAGGCGGATTAGTCCAATTTTATGCGATTCGTATGCAATTTGCCTCGAATAATGCGATAATTCGATTTTGGTAGGAATTATGCGAAAATTTATGCTAGCACGTGACCGCTTGTTCAACCATGTTCGATTGGGAATAAAGGAGGAACGCTGCATCGCAGCCTTTTCGGACCAAAACCAGTCGACTCAGCGTCCAAAAGACTACAACATATGGGCCAATCGCGGTCATCCGTGCTTTTATAAGAACGAAATGGCGCTTTTAGTGGCATTTTGCATACAAATCCCCATCTAGTAGGGCGCAGTCACCCAGTTTCGGTGGAAGTGCGCGAGTTCGATTGGGATTCAAGTAGGAAGGGAGCGTCGCAGCTTCCTCGGACCAAGACCATTCGACTCAGCACCCAGAAGACTACAACTGATGAAAATTTGATTTTAGGGTATACTTCCCCTTTAAGGTGGCTCACGCCTATTTCAAAAAAATTAACGATTGCTCTGAAAATTTGGTGGGCGGTTGCTCTTAGGTAGTGTATGCAAATGGCGAGTTAAAAAAACGGGGTCTCAATGCTAACTTTTGAGATATAGGCGATGACAATTTCACTAAATTGTCAAATTTGTACAGGATTTGTGATGTATAGCGGACGGGTATTTCATCAAGAACCTGATTTACAATCTTCCTCATTTTTTGGTTATTGAATGGACTAACTGTGTACATGCCAATGAGAAAATAAAAAACATATGCTTCAATGCTCAATTTCGCCATATAGGCGCAGAATGCCTTTTTGATAAGTTAGCTTTGCTACATGTACATGCACACCTACATATCCCATGTACATGTCCATATACATCTACTCTTCTCTACTAGCCCACCCCAACCCTGCAATACACATTGACACAAGTGTACACAAACATACCACACACATACCACACACAAACACACACACGCATACATGCAAACACACACACGCATACATGCAAACACACACACACCTCAGACCTCAGACATGCCCATCGCGGAAGCGATGATAGCGAACAGCTATGTTAGACATAGCAACTTGTGCTGGGATTACACCATTCAACAGCTTGCAAGGCTGATGAATTGACCGCCACTATTTTTAGCCTGGTCTCCACCACACAGCTGTTTGAAGTGACTTTTTCTGGCCAGTGAATCCCTATTTTTCATTTTTCCATTTTTTTTCTACACACACACACCACACCACATACTCCGGCATACACTGGCTGTTGGTAACCACCCAGGAGAATGAAAGAAAAGTCAGGAAGAGTCTGAGAAAGAGAAGAAAGACGTGTGTGACCATAATCGTCGGGAATCGAACCCGCAACCTATCGATTGGAAATCGCTGCACATACCACTGCACCATATGGGACACACACACACACACACACACACACACACACACACACCTGTCCTGTCGAGCCACTACCACTAGGGTCACGTGGGCCCGGAGGGGCAGCAGAGAGTGAGAAAGAGCACGCCACCCGGTGGCGCTCCAGACACACACACACACACACACACACACACACACACACACACACACACACACACACACACACACACACACACACTACTACTACTGCTACTGTAGCATGGTTGCCCAAGGGCCACACCATTCCGAAAGAAGCCGGAGTCATTATCAGGAGCAGAAACGGAGATGACGACTCAGGTCACTCTGTCGACGGAACTGACGGCTGCAGCGAGAACAGCGGACACAATATGATGCTCTGTCAGACTTGGTTGCCCGATGGCCACGGTCGCACATGTGACGTCTGAAACCAGGCACTGACTTGAATTGCCGATTGCATGTCAAACACAAGAGAGAAGCATGGACGCTGAGCGGAATAGATGATGCCGGCGCGGACACTTTCGATGGTTCCAGGGGCAAACAATGATGCACACGCAGGCCACCACGAGAGTGAAACCACCTTCTGCATGTAGCACACTGCACAGCACCACGCTGATCCTGGATGGGGAGACTTTGCTCTGCGCCACATTTGTGCCTTGTTTGTCACCTGGCTGGCGAAACGACTGATGGCAGATAAGACAGTCCACCCGCCAGGCAGACCTATCCTGAGCAACCTCATACCAGGCCAGACAGACAGACACACACACACCCACCCACCACACACACGCACAAACGTGCGTGTAAACAGTGACTAAACACACACACACACACACAAGGCACACACAGGATCGCACGCCTGCAGACCATCGCTCCAATGAAGATAAGATTACTACTTCTTTGTGTAAATATGTTTGAGATAGAGTGTCACTCTTAGATGTGACTGACGCCATCAACCAATGTCAAGGAAAAAATTCACGGTTCGCGTCAGACTCGGCTACAGGCCGAATTTTCCGCATCTGTATGAACGCCATCATCCTTCAAGGATCAAGGCGCAGATGCAAGGAAAGAATGTGTTCAATCTTCTTCTGCACACGTAGAAATAGGTTTGGGCATTTTCGATGATTTAGAATGTACGTCGCGTGAATATGACAATGTGACAGAGGCAGCCACAATTTACTGATTACTGTGCATTGATCTAGCTATATACACTGCAAGTGCACTGTAAATATTGTGTTACATGCACGTAGTTGTGAAGGGAGACAGTATACATGTACATTCACCAATGACACACCTGTCAGACAGCAGGTTAGGGCTAGTCAAAGTTATGAAGGCACAATATACGATACGAAGGCATAATTTTGCGATGTACTTGAGTTTGTGAATATTTAGTGGACTTTGTGTTCACACATACTCTACCAAATTGCCATGCACACCGTTGTAACACACACACACACACACACACACACACACACACACACACACACACACACACACACACACACACACACACACACACACACTTGAGCCTGGGGAGCATGATTGCTGTCAGCCAGTGTTGCTTTCAAATGCTTATTCTCGTCAGGAGTGATGTGAAACACATACTGGTAAATCAATCTCTAAAAAATGCATCCTAAATAAAACGCTCAAGCACTGAGTCTAGTCAGAGTGATAAGACAATAAATTGAAGGAATTTCTCAACAAAAACTCAGTGTACCGCTGTGATAAAGCCGTGGCAATAACTATAGTAGAGTTCTTCGTGGACAGCGATTACCATAAAGAAATGGTGAGATACTACAGTAGTACCCTCTACTGACACAATGCAACCACGCTGTCCAGTACATGTTCGAATCAAAAATACTTTCGTACATTCGTGACCATTTCAATATATTCAAGGGCGACCTCCACAATCCACTGGCTTCAGAGTCGATTGATCATTATAGAACGGCCATTCTTGACAAAATAGTCAGACAAATTTTGCGAAGGATGGCGTTCTACTGTGGAATGGACTCGCCAAGTCACTTGAACCAATTCAACGAAAATTCAAAATACTCAGGTTTTACATATTCACGTACCCGTCTGTGCCGTCCCCCATTCCTTCCAAGACATCCACATAGACTCCAACGCTTTGATTCTACTCTTTTTCCGAAGCCGACCATGGGCATGGGCAGTGCCTGCTGGAAGGGACATCCCAACACTTCTCTGACAGGTGACAATTTCCACAAGTAAAAAATGCACCTCAAAAATGTAGCCAAGTGAATAGAAGGAGTGACAAAAAAAGAAGAAAAAAGCTCACACTCTAGACTCGAGTACGAGAGTTTCGTACTCAGGCCATCTGCTCGAGCTGGACCCTTCGAAACTGGAGTGCGCTACAAGCTCGCTAAGCCAACTCCGCATGCACTTTTCTCGAACGTAGGATGCGCGAGAACCTGCGCAGAAGACGAGTTTAGAAATAGGCGCGAGCCACCTTAAAGTAAGAACGAGGTACGAAGTACATGTATGGTCGTGAAATACATGTATCGGTCGTGCCACGAGTGGTAATCAGGCAGAGTACAATGTACCATCATGTGCAGTAGTTTGGCATGCTTGCTTGATCATGCTTGTTCATTGGACGTTGTCGACAGAATGTGACGAAGCACTATGCGTCAGCGCCGAAAGGAGCTTACTGCGAGCTAAACATGGTGGCAAGAGGAATAGCCGCTGACCGTGGGCTCGGTGACAGAATGGACGTACTCGGCAAGGAGAACTTCACCAGCGCCAGTCTACAACTGCAGCCCAGGAAGCCAGGCAACGACTGGATGGGGCAGCTCCCTAGCAGTTCTCCCGTCTCCACGCAACCCCAATGTCAATGACCCGACCAAGCGACTCTCTGGCATTTCTCCGGTCTTCCCCAGCGCTTACAGGCAGGGCCTGAACAGCCCTGATTCCATACTTCACAAGGCAGATGTGCCATACTGTTAACGAAGATGTGCAGCCATGCTGTTCACAACACAAGCATGCTTCACAACGCAGATGTGCCTTTGTTAGAATTATGCATGCATGCTGAAGATTGTGTTGGTGCTTCCCTCTGCTCAAGTAACTGTATCTGGCTGGACTTGTCCTTGTCTGTGTTGTGTACGCATTACAGTCTGCACCGGTGCCGCGACAGTCGATTGCTTTGCCTTTGATCCATGCAGGCTGGATCTTTTTGTTTTCTGTTGTTTTGTTTTGTTTTTTGTTCCGGTGTACCAGCGCTGCAGCTAGCGTAGGCTGCGTGTGCAGCCGGCCCTACAAAAATGCACTTGCTTTTCACTTTTTTTTTAAGCTCTTTCACTGCGTGTGAAAGGATGAGATTTGTTTTGTAGTTTGTGAAGTGAGTTAGCCTTTTCTCCCATGCAAGTAGCTTGCCGTGTTCTCGCTCCTTTTCCTTTGCTATAAGTTGAGTATAACGTATTGGTAATGTAATTCAGTTTGCTGATAACAAGACTGAGTTTACAGTCTTCTCTCGAGTGGTAATTATTAACAGCCATGATGACTCCTAGATTGAGAATAACAAAGATAAAACGGGATAAAAAGAAGCACACATACATCGATAACACTGCTGGGGTGCGGCAGACAGCGAACTATAATACGTGCTTTCGACCGAACGAAATTGCGCTGAAAGAAACCTGAGTGAACGTAAAGCCAGGGTTTGGTTTGAGCTTAAAAAGAAATAATTATATAATTGAACAGTGATGATAGTAGGTGTTCTATAAACGCAAGAAAACAAACGTTCAAAACCTTTGGGATTCGTCAGGAGAAGCCGTGGAACGTTAACCGGATTACTCAATCTGTTTTATAAGGTAAACTTTTCAATGGCGATAGTATCATACTGCAATAGAATGCCGGGAAAACTCAACACCCTCCGTGGGCCGGTGCAGGATTCCATGTATGCAGACAGTACAGCTGTGTCAAGAGCAACGCATACGCGTATAATATCATGATTTTTTTAATTCAAGGACATGCGATAAAAACCAATGCGGAAAGGAAATACTAGCGGATCAAGATCAAGCCTGCCCGAGCGACCAAAACAAGCAAAGACTAACAAACGCGCTCTACTAGTGCTACACGCTCTAAACATTCTCACACTATAAAACACTGCTACTTCTACTACTACCACCAATACTACTGCTAATCCTAGGCCGGCTAGAAGAAAAGACAACAAAAAAAAGGGAGAGATGAGACACAGACACACGTGCCTAGTGTAAAAAAGGAGAGATGAGGCACACGTGCGTGCAGAGTGTAAAAAAAAGGGAGAGACTAGGCACACAGGAATGCAGAGTGTAAAGCAAAGGTTGGTGGCATGGCCGTACACGACGAGAAGTGGAGGCTTGGCGCAACCCACCTTGGATCTCACAGTGCCGTCCTGTCCTGCTCATATGCTCGAAGCCCAGCAAACGCCTAGTTAAGTTAACGCAGTCCGCTGGCGGCATAAGCGGAAGCTGCACAGTGCCTGGGCAGCACGCTGTCGTGCACATACGAGCACACCGCTGGAACGTCCGCCGTTTGCTAGACCACTGATAACGTAGACCTGTTGCCATGTTGGAGAAGGAACTCTGGTGATTTCGGGTGATAAAGGAATGGGCTCGGGTGATTTCAGGTCACAATGTCCATGTGTGTGTGTGTGTGTGTGTGTGTGTGTGTGTGTGTGTGTGTGTGTGTGTGTGTGTGTGTGTGTGAGAGAGAGAAAGAGAGAGATAGAGAGGAGGCAATGCGATGCCGCGGAGAACGCGATCAGCTCTCCAAACCATCGGGAACGCGCTGCGGCTCCCACTCGCAGAAGAAGCCGTCGTCACCTAGGCGACGGCGTACCACCACGCACATACCGTTGAGCTCCACAACCGAAGACTTGACCCGCGCAATCCGACGCCGCTTGTAGCGTGGCCTGCAATCACCGCGTTGGGAGAAGGAGCGTCGCTGACGCTGCCTTCGCACAGGTACGGGAACAGGTACAGGTGCGGGCACAGACATGGTCGGCAACGGTCCACCGCCCGGGCCCTCGCCGCCGCTATCAACGGCGTTGGGCGGCAGTGGACCAGTTCTCCGACAGTACAGGGGTGTGTGCCACGTCACTGCCGATCCACCCCGGCTAGATTTGTCGTCGAGGTGCGGTGTCCGCGGTGGCTTGTCATCCACTGCGGCGGCGGCGGCAGCATTTCCCCAGGACTCGTGCCCTACGCCTGGCAGCAAAGCACTAGCTTCTTGAGCATGCGGGGCTTCATGAACATCCGCGCCATCATCCTGCTTGCTATCCTCGGTCGCTGCAACGTGCTCCGGGCCATCATCCTGCTTGCTATCCTCGGTCGCTGCAACGTGGTCCGGGCCATCATCCTGCTTGCTATCCTCGGTCGCTGCAACGTGCTCCGGGACATCATCCTGCTTGCTATCCTCGGTCGCTGCAACGTGCTCCGGACCATCTTCCGCTGGCATAGCTGTCTTCGTTGGCAAGAGGTCTGCAACGTGCTCCGGACCATCTTCCGCCGGCATAGCTGTCTTCGTTGGCAAGACGTCTGCAACGTGCTCCGGACCATCTTCCGCCGGCATAGCTGTCTTCGTTGGCAAGACGTCTGCAACGTGCTCCGGACCATCTTCCGCCGGCATAGCTGTCTTCGTTGGCAAGACGTCTGCAACGTGCTCCGGACCATCTTCCGCCGGCATAGCTGTCTTCGTTGGCAAGACGTCTGCAACGCGCTCCGGACCATCTTCCACCGGCATAGCTGTCTTCGTTGGCAAGACGTCTTTGTCTTTCTTCGTCTTCCGCTCTTTCCCAGGGTACTGAGTATTCATGAGCTGCAGCAGCTGCGCCTTTGTCGGACTTGCCGGATTCGTGGCCTTCCCATCAGCTGGGTGGTGCACGTCTGACTGCGACGCACAATGCTGCGCTCCAACAGCAGGAGACGTCGCTCTTAAAGGAGAGGAACGACAACTGGGGTCCTTGCCCTTAACCGTCCCCCCGACTTGCTTATCGTCGTCCGAGCACGGAGTTAGAGAATCGTCCTCAAAGTCAAGCAATGGTTCTGAACAGTCGGATACTGCCAGGTTCTCAGGATTGGCGTTCCAACAGTCAGTCTGCTCCGAACAGACAAGCAGCAGGGGTGCTGGTGGTGGTGGCGGTGGTGAGGGCACAGCACACAGCGAACTCGAGGACTTCTCCGAGGCGTGCGAGCACAAGCAACCATCGGCAATGGACTCACCGACTGCCGAGTCTGCTACAGCAGGGTCTGAGGGCGGGTCTGTGAGCGGTTCCATCGCCGCGTCTGCCACACCATGGTCCGCGGGCGGTTCTATCGCCGCGTCCAGCTTACCCTGTGGCGTGTTAGCGTTGCTGCTGCCGCTGCGATGAGTGGGTGCTTTGGCGTACCAGTGACCGAGTGCCGTCGGTGGCGGCATTCCAAAACTCGTTGTCGTCTCCGCACGGGTGCTCTGCGGTGCGGACGAAGCGCTCCCATCGCACAACCTACTAACGATGCTCTTGTACTCTACGTCAGTCACGTGCAGGGCACACGCTCTACGCCACTCGTCCGCAGACGCACATCGCCCCAGCTTCTTCTCGGCAACCGTGGCCAGCTGCCGCAGGTTGGCCGCGTCTGCGTCGTCAAACGGACCGCTCGGAGCGGCGAGGCACCGCACATCCGTCAGTAGGGCGGCGAGCTGGGAACGTGCTGCAGTGTGCTGCGCCGTTGAATACAGCTTTCTACGAGTAGCCAATGGCAACATGCTGAGCAGCTCAGCCAAAACCTGATCGGCGACGACTGGCCTGTGACCGGAGTCAACAATACCTATGGGCTCGGTAGTAGCTGAGCATGTGTTGCTGTTTGTGGACATGGGCTGGAGAGCGGCGGCAGTCCGCTCCGGTACAGCCGAGCCTGGCTTGCTCACCGGCGCTTTCTCTCTCGATACACGAGCAGCTGGCTGTTGATCTCGACTACTTGATTGCTGGACGGTCATCGGAGGCATGTCACCACCACTGTCAGAAGTCACAGTTGTGCCTGTCAGGCTGATGCAAGCTTGAGAAGCTTGGGCAGTCGATGCCGCAGCGGTAGATTCGGAATCACGATCAGCCGACGCGGACAGGACTACTGACGCTACGATTGCCGACGCCGACGATACCGCAATGGGTGCAGCCGTGGACGCGCGTGTGCACGTCGGCGCTACTTCATCTCCATCACCATGGTTACCGGTGCCACCGTCACCACTGGCTGTTGCCGCTGCTGTAGCAGTCAGATCAATCCTGACCGGATCAATCCTGGCCGGATCAGTCTTGGTTCGTCGCAGCTCCTGCAGATACTCAGACACGTTCATTAAAGGCGGCAGCTTGGGCAACGACAGTGAGGTGGCGGCCGCGGCTTCGGCAGCATCTTCCCGAGCAGCTTCAGTCTTGCTCTCAGCGTCAGCCCCGGCACGTACTCTACTAAGGCTTCGCCGTGATGACGAGGTATTCGCCTCACCATGGTTAACAGAAACAACAGAAGCTGAAGCACCAGTGCCAGTGGTAGCAGACTCTGCAGCGACACCAGCGGTGGTCGTAATGCCGCGAGAAGACGAAGCTGCAAAGCTTGCCACTCCGTCGGCCACTGGCAGACGAGCGGGAGCTGCCGGTCCGGAAACAGAACTGGCAGTGGAATTGTCCTTGCCGACACCGGATATTGTCACCTTGGTTACGGTAGCAGCGGAAAATCCACGTTCGAGGGTGGAGGAACGTCTGGAGTGAACCGCAGCACTAGATGTGTCGGAAGTGCACCCAGTACTAGTAGCATTACCACTGGAACTAGAGGCAGTGCTCGAGGTCGGAGCATCCGTACCAAGACTGCTGCTGCCTTGTGGGCTACCGGTCAGAGCATTGTTTGTGTACTGTGCTCGCGAGGACACAAACGATGCGCCACCTGGACGTAACAGCAATGGTAGGGGTCGCCGCCAGCCATGGACAGCCGCATGCGTTCCGTTCTCCGGCGTGCTAGGCGACGCGAGTTCATCAGAGTTGCTGGCATCACGCGGCCGTATGGACAGGGGTTCGCGCTGATTTGGTGGCGGACTCAGCGGTGTGTGCAGCAGGGGCTGCTGGGAAAGTGCAGGGCCGGGCCCAGGGCGTGTCGGTCTGGGTGGCACATACGTACCCATGGGTGCAGGAGTCGCCTGCGCAAAGCCGCCTAGAACTGCAACCCCACGGGGCTGAGTCCAACCCAGCGGATGATGGACGTAGCCGAGAAGGGGACGGGGACGTGCTTGGTGTTGCTGCTGCTGCTGCTGCTGCTGCTGCTGCTGCTGCTGCTGTGACAACTGCTGAAACTGTTGTTGCTGCTGCTGTTGCAGTAACTGGGTCTGCTGGGGTGACTGGTGCTGCTGAAGCTGAGGCTGAGGCTGCTGTTGCTGCTGCTGCCACTGCTGTAGCTGCTGCTGTAAAATCTGCTGCTGTTGCTGAAGGTGTAGCAGGAATATCTGTTGATGTGGATGCGGCTGCTGCACTTGCTGTAGCTGATGCAGTTGCTGCTGCACTAGCTGCAGTCTGTGCTGGAGCAGGTTCGGCGCAGATATAAAGCGCAGCGCTTGCGGCAGAATGGAGGCAGCCAGCATGGCGCGTGGGTGCAGTAGAGGATGCGGCAGGCGTGGCTGTGGCAGCGACTGTGCAGGCGTTGGATGAGATGGTCCACCGCGCTGGGTCTGGTGTTGCGACGACCACACAACCTCCGTGCTCTGCTCCGACGCACTCCTTGCCGGGTGACCCGACGCAGTTTGTGTACAACTGCGCGTCCTCATCACAGCAGGAAGAAGAGGAGGCGACGAAGACAAACCAGCAAGCGGAACGGACGCCTCACCAAGCGGTCTGCTTGAAGAAGCACCCTTCGTAGGTAACGTTGAGCTCGCCATTCTGCTTGCGGTGGGCCCTTCCTTCGTAGCGACATCATCATCACCATCATCATCATCATCATCGTCCACACAGTCCGTCAAATCGATAACCGAAACGGCATGTGCAGGGCGGGTTGACGCCGTCGCCGTGGTGCGTGTGGTTGTCGTGGCAACAGATCCCGTGCCAGTTTGCTGGTGCAGGTCTGCGGACGCTGCGGTCGTCGTGAGCCCCATGTCCGGCGATGAAGTTGCTAACATCGGCGGAGACATTGTCAGTTGACTCTCGGTGCCTGCTGACGGCACGCTCCTGGAGGCCAGTTGCCGTAGCGACATACTCGCCGTGGACGTGAGCAGTGGCAGTAGTGCTGGAGGCGAGCGTGCAGACTGTGCAGTGCTTGCTGGTGTACTGTGGGTAGTGGTGGAGGAGGAGGTGGTGGCAGAGGTGGTGGAGACAGACGAGTATACGCTACTCGTGCACTCCAGCGCTGCACGGCAATCACTGCCAGTACTCGCAGTCGCAGATGTGCGTGCTGCATCGGAAGTACACACGCCGGTTGCTGCGGTACACTGTGAGCCTGCCAAGCTGGAAGAGCTCTCAAAGGCAAGCGCTTGCTGCCCGGTTGTCGTCAGTGCCACAGACACCAGCTTGAGAACACTAGGTGAAACGTTGCGAGGCAGTGCCTTCTTGCTGCCAGCTGATGTCAACGACACGGGCACACTGGACGCTGCCGGGACTGCAGCCACTTCCGCATCCGCTGCTCGCGCTCCTGGTGACGACGATGGCGGTACTGTGGCCGCTCTCGCCGCTCCCGCTTCTGTCAGTGCCACTGACACCAGCTTGAGGACACTAGGTGAAACGTTGCGGGGCAGTGCCTTCTTGCTGCCAGCTGATGTCAACGACACGGGCACACTGGACGCTGCCAGGACTGCAGCCACTTCCGCATCCGCTGCTCGCGCTCCTGATGACGACGATGGCGGTACTGTGGCCGCTCTCGCCGCTCCCGCTTCTGATGCTGCTGGTGCTGATGATGCATTCGCTGCTAGTCTTACTGCTGCTGCTGCTGCTGTTGCAGGTTGTGGTGCAGATGCTGTCGGGCATTGCGCGCCACCAGCAGTTCCGTTGGCAGTTTGTGAAGGTGGATCGGCGAGGGTTGTTGCTGGTGATTGAGCCTGCGCGGCTGTTCTCGACTCGTGCTGTACGTGCTCCGAAGCGCCCAGCAGGGAAGGCGGCAGTCTCAATCTCGCCATCGCCCCGTCGGCAGCATCTTCGCGGGCCGACACGGGCGTATCCACCGACTGCTGTGCTGCCATAGCAACTGTTGTCATCAGCAATGCTACACTTGTTGCAGGTTTCGCTGTTGTGGCCGGTTCGACGGCATGCGATGCATTTGACGACGACGACGACGACGACGTAAGTCTAGTTCCCGCCGCTACCGTTGCCAATGCATCTGCTGTTGCTAAAGGTGCAGACAGATTACGCAGACTGACAGCAGAAGATTGCTCTAGAGCTGTGAAAGAACTTTGACTGGTCGTCGAAGTGGGTGCCTTGCAGCCGGATAGCGCGTCTGTGTTCTGATTCGGTGACGGTGGAGTCTTGCGTGGGACGCCGGGCGAGCTGCCAGGAGAAGTGCTGGTACCTGCGGCCAACAGACCGGCAGCGGCGAGCCCCACCAGACTCTCAGATGTCACTCGCACCGAGCTTGAAGACGTCGAGGAACGGCTGTCGGACGCGTCGGATACGTGCGACTCGATTTCGCATACCTCCGCTCTGGGGCCGGAGTCCACTGTTGCCTGTGGACTCCATGTGCCCTGGATCACGACAGGCTCGGCTAACTCAGCAAAGCTGTCTACGGGCGTGTCGACACGAGCACCGGTGGTCCGATCCTTGCCTTTGCGCCTGCGCGTGCCGGACAACGCCGAGCTGGCTTGCAGGCTGGGAGCGGTGATGATCAACGAGGGCTCGTCACAATTGCTTCCTTTCCCTCTGGCACGCGTTCTGCATCTCTCCTCACCTCTGGACACTGGGCACAGGATGGACAGGGCATCGAGAAGGTTCTCAGCTTCCGGAGCTACCGCTGCACCGGCACTCCTGTCGCCTGGCAACGAGCCACGGCCCGTTTGCTCACGGCTTGCATTTGGCGGTGTAAACAAGTTCCTGGCAACGTGCCTATCACCTGCTAACGTCTTCGCAGCATTCATTACTGCACCGACGGATTTGAACGCAATAGGCGGGGTAGACCTAAGCGTGGCCGAGACGTTGCTGGCTGATGAACGGCCACTGACACTGAAGGCTGCTGCAACACCCGGCGAGGGACTCTGAAACACATCCTCGGTTCCAACGGCACTGTCCTTTCTTCTCCGCTTTCGAACAGGCAGGCTGGACGAAGCAGCCGATACCTTCTCATCCGCCTGGTCGTCACTGAGCGGCGTAGAGCGTCTACACTTGCCGCGAGAAGCGGCCGCGACCGGAAGCGACGGTTCCAAGGGCTTGCCGCCGACACTGCCACCGCTCCCAGCGGGACTTGGGTTGCTGGTGGTACTGGGTGGGCGAGGGGCAGCACGCTGGCACTTCCAGCCGCCAAACTCCGGATGGTTGGCGAGGATTCGGTCGACGGGCGACGCCGCAGAGCTAGTCGAAGCGGCGCTACTCACTCCCGCCACCGTTCGCTCCGTTCTCGCCTGCACGGGACTGCCTTTTTGCGACGACGCACGGCTGGTGTGCGACAGCGGTGTGGAGCAGCGGGACGATATGCCGCAATCTTCACCCGTCATCTCGCCGCCGGGGTCTTTACTGTCCCCTTCGCCGCCGCCGGCATCCGCCGGCTGGTAGCTGCGCAGGACACGATGAGCGCCCCAGTAGCGCGACGACGACTGTCCGTACTTGCGATGCTGGCTGGTGGAGAGCGGCCGGGACGCCATCGCACTGGCAATGGGCTGCGCGACGCGTTTACAGCTACCCGCGTCGATCGCTGACGTCGCCTGTCCCTGGGTCCTGTGAGGCCTGGCTGTGTCGCCACCGTCCTCAGAATCACCGTCCTCAAGATAGCCCGAGGCGACGAGTTGGCTTTCGGCGGACGCTGCCAGCCGGCTGGGCAGGCGAAACGTCTCCTTGAGCCACGGAGCGGCTTTCAGTTCTGGCACGTCTCCATCGTCCGCTGCTTCTTCGTCCATGATCTCGCCGAGTGAATGCTCGGCTTGCGACGGAGGTGTGGGAAGGCCGGGCAGTGATAACTCTTCTAAAGCTGGGGGAGCGATGGAGGTGACTATGTGCGGATGCTCGCTTTGCAGCTGCGTGATCGCAGCCTCCTGTGGTGCATCTTGTATGGACGTAGTCTCTGCGCTCTCACCTAGACAGTCTAGCGCCTCCTCAGTCTCCTCCTCGTTACTCTCCCCGTCCTCATCCTGGGCAGCAGGCGCCTTTCCGTCTGTGACGTTGCTCACGTTTGAAGGCGACTGCTCCACACTTTCTTGCTCTGAACCCTCCTGTAAAGAGCCACACGCACACACAAAATCAAATACTTTGGCAGTCCAGTCAGGCGAAACTGCCCAAAAGAGCCTTGCCAGCGTGGAAAACCTGAATCTGGACCGAATTTAGGCTCAAAACCCCCTTGCAAATTTATATTTTAGACTTGTGATCTGCTTCTTCAGACAGTTTGCCTCCGTACACCCGTTGGATTATTGTAAAACCTAGCCAAAGTTCTAATTCCACTCCCGCTATTCTACTGACACCTGTGGTACACAATGCTTCTCAGCCTGAATGCAAGCCGATACGCGATGCACGCACATCACGAAGTGCATTCACCAGCCAGGGATGCGGACACACGTCTAATCGGAGCTCCACTGTGCTTTCCTCACACACTACAAGGTGTGACCCCATACACTCTCTATAGAGAGAGACGCCCTCCCAGCCCAGCCATCCACAGGTCAGTCTTGAAAAGCACTTTCTGCTCCTTTGAATACTGACCAGTATTCGTATTTATAAAGTATTTATTGTATTTCAAGAGTGACATTTTTTGCAGAGTTTTTCGGGGATTTGTGCATACAATTTGGGGAACTACCGGTAAACAGCAAAAGCAAAATTCCTAAGCATTTCGAATTTTCAGTTCTAACGCAGACGTGCGAACGTTACATTAAAAAAAGCCTAAATTCTCCACCAAATGCTCATCACTTACCAGCACATTATCAACAGCATCCGAGCGTCGATGCATGGCAGCCACCCGTTTTTGCTGGGCAGCTCGCCTACAACGTGATAAGCACACACACATATATGTACACACACACATATGTACACACACACACATATGTACACAAACATATGTACACACACAAACATAACGGTATACACGCACATTCACACAGGCACACA